GGGGATGCTGGGGTCTCGGGTGGCAGTTTAACCTGCTATGCCACAACGCTGGCCCCAGCAGTTCAATACACTGCGCGCATCTGCATCGAGGGCACCGCTGTGCACCTGTCCCTGAGCGACACTGGAGCCTCTATCTCTTCCCCCCGCTTAGCACCCTTCCCACTGGTAGTTACAGGGGTCATTCTCCATGCCGGGTTCCAGACCACAACACCAGCAGGAGGTCTCCTAGGCTGGCACCCCCAGCACTCGCTTTCCCAGCTCGCCCTGAGGCCTCGCCTCCCTCGCCACCTGCAGTGTGTCCTGGCTAAGTTCCTGTTTCCCTGTTTGGATGTGAATGTCACTCAGCCAGTTTGCCTACAGGATTCCTGAGACCCAGGGAGGGACGTGCCTCGGTGCACAGATGCTATCGCTGCTGCCCCACGGAGAAGACAGCACATCCTTGGTTCAGTCATGTGACTTCTTCATTGTTTTTTTTTAAATGTCAGAAACTATGATGGAGGGGGGGTGCTTGGCACAGTGGCTAAGATATCCTTGCGCCTACATGTATCTTGGAGTGCCCAGGTTCCAATTCTGGCTCTGCTTCTACTTCTACCTTCCCGCCGGTGTAAAACCTGGGAAGCAGCTGGTGATGGTTCAAGTAGTTGGGGTCCTGCCACCTACTTGGGAGGTCTGGATTGAGTTCTGGGCTCCAGGCTTCAGCCTGGCCTAGCCTCAGCTATTGCCAAGTATTTGAGGAGTGAATCACACATTATCTACACCTATATTTGAAAGGCAAAGTTACAGAAAGAGAGGGAGAGATGAGAGAGAGAGAGAGAGAGAGAGAGAGAGAGAGATATCTTCCATCTTCAATAGCCAGGGCTGGTCCAGGCTGAAGCCCGGAGGCTGGAACTCCATCTGGGTCTTCCCAGTGGGTGATGGGGCCCAAGTACTTAGGCCATCTTCTCTGCCTTCCCAGGAGTATTAGTGGGGAGCTGGGTTGGAAGTGGTTGGTAGTGGAGCAGCGTGGACTCAAAGCAGCGCTCATATTGAATGCTGGTGATGTAGGCGGTAGCTTAACCCGCTGTGCCACATGACCAGCCCCATCTGTCTTTCAAACAGATAATTTTTAAACACGTGATCCCAGTTAAACATGAATCTTAATGAAGAATGCAATGGGAGAGGGAGCAGGAGGTGGGATGGGAGTGGGGGTGAGAGGGCAGGAATGGGGGCAAGATCCACTATATTCCTAAAAGCTATACCTATGAAATTTATATTCATTAAATAAAAAGCTTTTAAAAAATAAAACTATTCACACTAAAAAAAATTTGATCATATAGGGGCCAGTGCTGTGGCCTAGTGGGTAAAGCCACCCCCTGCAGTGCCGGCATCCCATGTGGGTGCTGGTTCTAGTCCCGGCTGCTCCACTTCCCATGCAGCTCCCTGCTGTGGCCTGGGAAAGCAGTAGAAGATGGCCCCAGTCCTTGGGCCCCTGCGTCTTCCTGGGAGACCCAGAAGAAACTGCCAGCTCCCAGCTTCAGGTTGGCCCTGGGGGGTGGGGGCGGGACTAGCAGATGGAAGATCTTTCTCTCTCTCTCTGCCTCTGTCTGTAACTCTGCCTTTCAAGTAAATAAATATTTTTTTTTTAAAGTGATCATATAACCCATTTTGATGGGGCATTTCCCTCCCTCCCTCCAATCAAAGTCCATTTGTTTTGAATTCTTCCAGGGTAAAATTCCCCATCTCACTGAGATTATTTCTTATGCCTCAGATACCAAATTTTATCAATATCTCAGTCTCACTCACATCTCTGCCTCCAGGCAGTACCTTCATCCAGAAAATCAAAGAAATTCTGAGCATTCTGGAAAAAAAAAAAAAAGGTGAGATATAATGATAGACCCTAACATTTCCATGGGATAGTCTGGAAGCAGCACAGGGTAGGTCTGAAATAAGCTCAGTGCAATTGCAAGCTCACTTTCACAAAGTTACTTTGGGTGCCCTTGACTCTGGTCAGGGGCCCCACTTGTTCTTGACCTGGGGTTTGGGGATTCTATTTGACCTATATCCAACATCTCCCTTCAGGGAAATGCTCCTCACAGCTTGTCAAAGACTCAGGAAGTTTTAAGTTCTTTTTTTTTAAGATTTATTTATTTTTATTTGACAGGCAGAGTGGTGGGGTGGGGGAGGGGGCGAGAGAGAGAGAGAGCGAGCGAGCTTCCATCTGCTAGTTCACTTCCTTGCAATAGCCAGAGTTGGGCCAGGCCAAAGCCAGGAGGCAGGAAACTCATCCAGGTCTTCCATGTGGATGGCGGGGGCCCAAGCACTTGGACCATCCCCTGCTGCTTCCCAGGTGCATTAGCAGGGAGCTGGATGGGAAGCGGAGTGGCCGGGACTGGAACTGGCGCTCCAACAGGAGATGCCAGCATTGCAAGTGGCGGCTTAACTGGCTGCACCACAATGCTCTCTGTAGTTTAAGGTTCTTCATATGGCTCTGCTTTGCATGAGGGAGGACTCCGTGGCATAGGACCTACATTCCTTTCACCTTTTTTTGCATAGGAGCCCCAAAGTGAGACTTAGACAAGGCAAGCTGGGTGCGCGCGGGCCTTTCTCGTCAGCGGTAAAGACACTGGTTAGGACACCCTGTGTTCCACATCGGAGTACCTGCATCTGATTCCCAGCTCTTGCCTCTGGCCTTCTACTAATGCAGACCCAGCGGGGCAGCCATGATGGCTCAAGTAGCTGTGTTCTTGTCATTTATAGGGGAGACCTCGATTGAGTTCCAGCCTTTGGCCGGGCACAGCCGCAGCCATTTTGGGCATGTGGGGAGTGAACCAGCAGATGGAGCTCTCTCTGTCAGTCTCCATCTCCAAACAAACAAACAAACAAACAGAAAACAAAACAAAAACCCAAACCCACCAAAACCTGTCGGCTGGGGCTTTAACCCGCTGCGTCATGGCGCCGGCCCCATAAGCTACTCTTTGATCCCAGTTTGACTCAACAATGATGAAGTCTTGTGAAATGGACAGAGGAATTCCTTAAACGAGTAAGTGAGATTCCTGCTACTGGGACGCATTCCAGGTAGCGACTGGAACAACATTAGAAATGTGAGAGTCCTACTGTGCACCAAGTACCCAAGTACTTTGCAGGGAATTTCCAAGTCACAATCTGCAGTGTAACCCTTAGAGACCCATGTCCTGTTTAAATTCATTTTTAAAAATGTATTTTCATTTTATTTGAAAGGCAGAGAGACACAGACAGCTCATCCGTGGCCTGCTTCATTCCTCAAATGTCTACAACAGCCAGGGCTGGGCCAGGCTGAGGCCAGAAGCCTGGAACTCCATCCGGGTCTCCCATGGGGGTGGCAGGGGCCTAAGCACTTGAGTCATCTACTGCTTCCTAGGATGGGATGGGTTAACAGGAAGTTGGATTGCAGATGGAGCCAGGACTTGAACCCAGACAATGAGTTCAGTTTAACTTCTGAGTTAAATTCTGTCTCTCTGGGGGAACCTCAGACACAGTCTGACCCCGGCTATGCCAGCTACAAAAGCCTAAGTGTTCATGGCCCACGTGGATTGTTGCAGACACCTGCATCACGTGTCAAGAGCCACACAGAGGTGCAAACAAGGCGCCCAGGGAAGGCGTCTCCATGTTTCCAAGGGTCTGTTCTTAGCCCAGGACTCTGCCAGTCTTGTCACTGGACAACAGGCTGCCAGCCTCCCTTCATTGTAACTTTGAATTTCTTCTCTACTCTCCTTTTAGGAACATCCGTTCACTTGTAACAATAACAAGCCTCCTTTCCCACGTGGGCACAGTGTCTCAAGGTTTCCAAAGCACTCTCCCGTCTACTATCTCATTTAATCGCTCGCTCCTCCACATCCAGACAACCTATTCCTGGTATCTCTTGAAAAGAACTTTCTGTGTCCTAGTAGTAGCAGGCCAAGCTCCCTTGATAGCATCTACCTCGTCTCATAAGTTCAGTCCTCAAATTCAGGACACGGGGCACGTTTCCGGGCACACCGAGTGGAGGAGGTGATAGTCTCGCCACATCGCGGCGTCTTCCATGTTGCAGGTTTGCCCACGGCTGCCTTCTTCAGCCCTTCCATTGAAAGGACAACTGGATGCCTACTAAGGTCCACGACAGCGTCCTTCCTTCGGGGGTGCCAATCAGGCAAGGAGTGAACAGCCAATTGGGGAAAGACAGCAGCAAAAGCTCTCAACTCCTGGTGGGTTACGGTCTTTGGTACAAACGCCCCCCGAGGAGCCAGGGCCACGATTCCCGAAGATTCTCCTCAGAACGAGGGGGGCCGGGGCAGAGAAGAATCCCGAAGATTCGCCTCAGAACGGCGCCGGGGGGCCAGAATCCCCGAGATTCTCCTCAGAAGTGGGTCGAGGCCACGACTCCGGACCGGAAAGAGCACGAGGCGAGAGAAGCCCCCGAGGAACAAGGCCCGGCCAGGACTCGCGCCCGGGAGTCTCCTCTCAGGCGCCTCCCGTGGCCCCGCCTGCGTCACTGCCCCACGCCCGCCCGGCCCAGGCCGCCGCCGGTGCATTGTGGGTGGGGCGCCCCTGCTGAGCACTGTGGGGAACCCCCTGCCCAGACAGTCGCCGGCCGCCGGGAGGCCCAGCCGAACCGCCCTCTGGGGTCCAAGCGAGCCGGCCACCGAGTGACGCGTCTTCCAGGCCCCGCCTCTAGCGGCGTTCCCGCCCCAGCGCCTAGGTCCCGCCCCTGGAGAATTATGATTGGCCCTTCGGCCCGCTCCTGTCTCTCATTGATCGGACGCATGTCAATCACCTCGTCCCGCCCCCCCCGTTCGGGCCCGCCCCGGCCGCCGGCGCGCTCTTGAAGACCAGCCGGCCCGCGCGGTCATTGGCCGCCGCGCGCTGTCTGTCGTGAGGCAGGCCACACCCTCTGTGAGGTGCGGATCCTGGGAGCCTCAAACGGACCTCATTGGCCTGCGGCGCCGCCACTCGGAGAGACGCGCCTCAACCCGGAAGTGTGCGAGGCGAAATCTGCCTAGCAACCGGGGAAGCCGGGCTGCGAAGCGGGCAATTTCAGTGTGAGACGGAGCCGCGAGACCGAGCGGCCGCTCCGAGCGCGGCGCGCCGGCTCCTCCCGCCCGGGGTCAGCGCCCCGGCGCGCGCACGCGCACCCCCGCCGCCGGAGCGCGCCCCGCGCCGCCCGCGCAGTCGGTCGGTCGGTCGGTCGGTCGTCCGTCGAGCCGCGGGCGCCACCTGAGGGAGCCGCAGTCGCCGCGGGACGCGCCCGGACCCGCCGCGCCCGCCGCGCCCGAGGCCGTCCGGGGGCCCAGGCGCCAGCGGCGGGCTCGCCAGGCAACTTGGGTGAGTGAGGGGCGGGAGCCGCAGGGGTCCCCGGCTTCCGGTGCCTTGGGCTTCCGCTTCTGCACTTTTCGCTGGGGAGACCCTTTCTCTGAGCCGCGGAGGGGTCCCCGGCCTCGGGGAGACCCCTCCCCACTTCGTTAAGGAGACCTTTTTCTGAGGGGCCCCTCACTTCCCTGGGACCCCCCCACTTTCCATGGGGGCCGCTGCTTCCCTCGGGGGGGGGTCCCAGCTTCTCTCAGGAGCCCCCTGCTGTCTGAGGGGATCCCCGCCTGCTTCCGGGGGGCACCCCCACTTACCTGGGGGGTACCCTACCTCTGCACGGGACCCCAACAATCTCCAAGGAGATCCCTGCCAGCCCCTCCCCCCTCCTTGCCTGCCCTTTTTTTTTTTTTTGTCCCCTCCTGCTTTGGTCAACAACTTTCTCTGAGTGGTGCCGCACTTTTGCTTTTTAACTTTTATTTGTTGGCTTATTTTTGCTTATTGGAAAGGCAGAGAGAGAGAGAGATCTCTGATCCTATCCACGGGTTCACTCCCCAAATGCCCACCACAGCCAGGGCTGGGCCAGGCTGGAGCCAGGAGCTCCATCCGGGTCTCCCCATAGGGGTGGCAGGGGCCCAAGTATCCGAGCCATCATCCGCCGCCTTCCCAAGTGCACTAGCCGGAAGTTGGAGCCCAGACTTGAACCCGTGCATCCCAAGGTGGGATGCGGGTGGCCCCAGCCGGTGTCTCGGCCGCTGGCCAGGTCCCCGCTTGGGGACGAGCGCCTGCTCTGGGATGCCCGGGAGTGACCAGATCCTCAGGCGGCTCTGAGTGGTTCTGGCCTTTCGAGCCCCCTACTCGTCTCTGGATGCCACAGTTTTCTGAGGGCTCCCCCGGCTTCTCTGCCCGTCCTGGCTGCGATTCAGGAAGCCCCAGGCCTGGCTGGGAACAAGCCTGCGATGAGCAAGCCGGCGCTTCTGCGGGGCACCCGGCGGGCCCCTTCTCCCAGAGCTCCCCCTGTGCTGGGCCCGAGGCCTTCCCCCCTTTCTGGAACCTTCTGTCTGGATTCTCTCCAGGAGAAACTCTCCATTTGTCTCTTCAGCCCCCAGCTTCAGTGTCCCCCTGTTCCGGTGGGTGGCACCTGTCCACCTCGGTGGGAGGGGGGAGGCCAGAAATGCGCCCCACCCCCACCTCCACCCGCCACGAGGAGTCTTGCCAGTTGGATCCAGGATCTTCTCTGGCCTGGGCCTGCAGGATTTTGTGGCTTGAGGGGAATTTGTGGACCGAGAGGCCCAAAGCGCCGTTGCCCGACGGCTAGAGCTGCTAGATTTGGGGGGGTGGGGGGCACAGGAGTTGCAGCCACAAGGCCACCGAAGTGTGGTCAGAGCAGCGCAGAGGCAGGCGGGACAGGGCAGAAACGTCGTCTCCCCATTATCGCCCTGGCAGCCTGGGGACCGACCCACACTTCCTGTCCCATCCCTCGGTCCTCCCTCTGCGTAGTGGCCCTCCCCTCCCCACCGGCAGCAAAAGGAGAAGAAAGTGCTCCCTCGGGTCTTCCGGCTGCGTCTCTCTCTCCGTGGGTGCTCGGGTTCACCCCTCGATCCAGGGAGGCTGCCCGGCTGTGGGCCGCTCTGGCCTGGGAGGCAGGGCCAGAAGCAGGAAATGGGTCACCTTGGGTCCAGGGAGGGTGGAGACGCGGCTCTCAACTGCAGTTTTAAAAAAAAGTTTTAGGTGACTGGCTCGGCGCAAAGGAAGTTTTTACGTGGCTTTTACACATCTCCTATGTGCTTTTTTTTTTTTTTTTTTAATGGCCCACCCTGGATTCCAAGTTCACTGCAGTAGCTAATTTTATCTGCTTTGCCCAACGCAGAGCTCTCTGGAGCCCCAGCACATGAATGCTGGCATTGAGAGATGGTCGAGAGAGGACAGGAACCTGGGCTTGAAACCTGAGTAACTTGTAACCACTTCGTGCCCGCCCGGGTCTCAGGCTGGAGTCGTGGGGTGCGCTGGGCTGGGCGGAGGCGCGCGCGGTTCAGTGTTTGAACAGGTTCTCCCCTCTGCCCCCACGCCCGCCGCCGTTCGCTTCACGGTTTGACTTAAGGCGATCTCTCTCCCGTCCGCTTCCCTCTGGGCCTTGCCTAATTTGAGTCCTTTTGTGGAGAGCCTATAATTTGAGGTCTAAATCTGTCGGTGGACCGTGTGGACACAAGTTGCAACTCGATCTATTTTCTTCTGTGGAGAAGCACTTGGAGAGGTTCCTGGGCCCTCCGCTCCTGGGGTAGTCAAGTCCAGGCAGGAGGCTCTGCTGCCGACCTGGCTGGCTGCTCTCCTGCCTCTTCTTGGTCAGCTGTAGGCACTGCCCCTTGGGGAAGGGAAAACTGCGGGGACTAGGGGTCCTGGAGGGTGCCCAAAAGAGGGCAGAGACGTACCTGCGTAGGTATGAAAAAGGGAACGGGCGACTTTGGAGTCAGAAGCACCTAGCGCAGACCCTGCCTCTGTCTTTCCTGGGTGTGTGGCCCTGGACAAGTCGCTAAGTGTTTGAGGGAAGCCATCTCTGAACGGGTGTGAAGGCGCCTCCTGTTGGGTGGCGGCTTCTGTTTTTGGTTGGATGAATGAATGAATCGAGGATAATTAACTGGAGGCAGCCACTGGCACATGGCTGGTGTGCAATCAAGGTCGGTTGTTTTGCTCGTGAGATTAAGATCCTGGCTTGGATCTCCAGACCAGGAAGTGCTTGACATTTTGCTAACACTGAGTACTGCCCAAAGAGAAGGAAGCCTGGTGTGCCTCTTGGGAGACCCACAGCCCCCCTGAGTCTCTTTGCAGCAGTTTTTCGGGCGGTGAATTTGCTGTGTGGCAGGGAGTGTGTGTTTGCCTCAGCCTTGGCATCTCCCTCCATCAAATGGGGGTAATTTGGGAGTTAGAGGCAAGTAGGGAGATGCATCACTCTAATTAGACCAAAGGCGAAGTAGATTATAACGAACTTGGAGGATTGCGAGAAGGAAAAAAAGCAGGGGAAGCAGAATGTCGGGAGCCCAACCATATTTTGAAACTGCGTGAGCGCGTGCTAGGCAGCCGTTACCGGCAGTGATCCGTGATCCGTGCTTCCACTTTAGAACCTTGGGAGAAGCACCATTCTTCCATGGTAATGGATCAGATTTGGGGACAAAAGGCTGGCAAAGTGATGTACAAAGGCGTTTGACGCCACACAATAATAGTACTTTGAGAGGGCCAGTGTGCGCTCTGCGCCCACAGCGGTCAGAATTCACCTTGACTCCCAGGACCACGGAGCTAGAGAGCTGTCTGTGGAGTTGCTAACGCAGCTTCTGGGGGCAGGGAACACGGGGCGGGAATGGAGTGTGGGGTAGAGAAGCCGGACCCTGATTTTTTCTTTTTTTTTAAAATTTATTTATTTACGCAGAGTTAGAGATCTTCCATTCGCTGGTTCACTCCCCAAATGGCTGCAACCACTGGAGCTGGGCTGGGCTAACCCAGGAGCCAGGAACTTCATCTGGGTCTTGCCTGTGGGTGCAGGGGGGCCATCTTCCACTGCTTTCCAGACGCATCAGCAGGGAGCTGGATTGGAAGTGGAGTAGCTGGGACTTGAACCGGTAACCACAGGAGATGTTGATGTCGCAGGTGGTGGCTGAACCAGCTACACCGCAACAGCAGCTCCTTTTTTTTTTTAGCCAAATCTCTTGAATCATGGCCTATGAATTGGGCCCTGCTTTCTCCCCTTACTAGTGTGGGGACAGATGGCACTCTCCTTCCCACAGATAAAACCCAGGGGCATAACAGGTCTGAGCTGGGCCCCTAGTGGGCTGCTTCTAAGTTTGCAGAAAAGGTGTTGTTGTTGTTTTTTTTTTTCTCTTGAAATATACCTTACCTCTGTCTCTCTAGACACACACACGCACACATACAAAATGACTTTGGTACTGAAGCAAAGAAATACCCATCAATCCTAAATTTCTTTTAAGGACAATTATTACATTCCATGAGCAAGGAGCAAAGTTTATTATTATTTTTTTTTACTTTATTTTTATTATTTTTCTTTTTGACAGGCAGAGTAGACAGTGAGAGAGAGAGACAGAGAGAAAGGTCTTCCTTTGCCATTGGTTCACCCTCCAATGGCCGCCGCGCTCGGCGTGCTGTGGCCAGCGCACCGCACTGATCCAATGGCAGGAGCCAGGTGCTTCTCCTGGTCTCCCATGGGGTGCAGGGCCCAAGCACTTGGGCCATCCTCCACTGCACTCCCGGGCCACAGCAGAAAGCTGGACTGGAAGAGGGGCAACCGGGACAGAATCCGGCACCCCGACCGGGACTAGAACCCGGTGTGCTGGCACTGCAAGGCGGAGGATTCGCCTAGTGAGCCGCGGCGCTGGCCCTATTATCATTTTTTAAAGATTCACTTATTTATTTGAAAGTCAGAGTTAAACAGAGAGAGAAGGAAAAGCAGAAAAAGAGAGAGAGAGGTCTTCCATCCACTGGTTTACTCCCCAATTGGCTGCAACGGCCAGAGCTGTGCCCATCTGAAGCCAGGAGCTTCTCCCAGGTCTCCCATGCGGGTGCAGGGGCCCAAGGACTTGGGCCATCTTCTGCTGCTTTCCCAGGCCACAGCAGGGAGCTGGCTCGGCGGTGGGGTAGCCGGGACTTGAACCGGCGCCCATATGGGATGCAGGGACTGCAGGTGGCAGCGTTACCCGCTCTGCCACCTAATTTTTTTAAATATAAAAAATTTTTAAGCTTCAAAGGGCTCATGCTCCCCTTTGAGATTGTGCTGTGTCTCTCCTGTGCCACGGACTGCACTCTGGTGGGCCGTGGCGCCAACAGCAAGTCTTTATCTAGCAGGATGTTTTTTTAAAACTTTTTTTTTTAATTGAAAGATCCTTATAGCAATAAAAAACCTTGGATACTTAGAAGTGATATTGATCTTGGTACATTTATTAGATGTAATGTAACGTGGTTATCCGTTGGTGGGCAGCTCTAAAAGGCATGTGGGTCCGAGTACGGCCCAGCTCCTA